GTAGCATTTCCATTTGATATGTCCAGGCATACCACAGTAGCTACACATAAGCCTATCATTTCTCTGAGATTGATTGAATGAATTGTATCTCTGATTTCCAACAGATCCATACACCATTTTGCTAGCAAAGGTTGCTGCCTCGAAATGTTACTACTTCTTAGCAATAACGTCTTTCTACCTTTCATCTTGTAAAATAAGTGCAAATACTTTATTCAATGAAGTAGTGGATCCATCAATAATACCTGACTCCTCACAGCAGAAAATTGGTCATCAAGTCCCATCAAAAACTGCATAACTGGATCCTCATGTTTGTAAAAATTGCTGTTAACATCTGGTCGATAATTATCTAATTCTTCCCAAAGTCCTTTAAACCTGTTGAAATAAGCACTGACTGAGCCATTCTCCTGTGAGATCGATGCTATTTGCTTCTTCAGCTCATAGATCCTTGTACCATTGCCTTGGCTGTATATATCTCTAAGTTCAATTCAGATTTCTCTAGCAGAATCCTTGTGCATCACACTAGGATATAGCTCTTTTGGAATAGAATTAATTATCTAGGAAGAAACAACATGATTACATCTTCTCCAAGCACTGAACAGATAATCATCCTTGTGTGGCTTCTCTATTGTTCCATCAATGAAGCCTTCTTTGTTGTTAACACTAAGTGCTATGACCACAGCTCGACTCCACGTGGAATAGTTATTATTTGTGAGAACAACTGAAATGATCTGCATTCCTATATTGTCGCCATAGTGTAAGTAGTAAGGGCTGGCTGGATCAGCCACTAGTCGATTGATAATCGAACCAGGATCTCCCATTCTTCCAACTGATGAATCGCCGGATGAATTTGAGTGATCGAACTGACTTTGCAGATCTACTGTGACATTTGAATCATCCTCTATTGCACAAAAGCTTCATACGAAGGTGCTCTGATACCATGAGAAAGTGCAATGGAATAACAGATGAAGAAAGAATAAAAATGGCGGGAGAATTTGTTGTAAAAATGAATTCAATTGTACAAAATATTTCAGTTCACCAACTCACCTATTTATACAAGATCTACCGACTAGTCACGCCTATTCTATGAGGGAAAATGTTATACAATGATATAAATAACCTCAGTTAAAATAAGCTCAACAAAAAGTGAAAACCAACCCTACACAAATGCATCTTCATTGCAACTGCGGATGGTTAAAAAAATTGTGCCATATAAGAAATTTAGAGGAAATTCATCGAGATGGTGTGGTAAAGATAAAATAGATATTTTTAGAAATCCGTCTAGATTCAAAAATTTTATTAGACATGCTAACTCAATTAAATTAATATTTCCTATTCAAATCTAAATACGATTTTGTTATTATTTTAAGAAAATAAAACGTACTTAGATAGCAATTCATAGAATGCATCATAAACCAATTTTGAACTTTAATGTACACTCATTGGATATCAATGTCATGTAGAAAGAAATTTTTCGGATGTTTATTTTTTATCTGCTACATCATCTTGACGGAATCCCTATCAACTTGCATTAGAGGTATATTTTTAAACACTTGTTTTGCTTATATGACAAGTTTTAAAGTTATCCGCATTTGTATTTGAGATGCTTTTATGAGTGATTAGTTAATAGGATAATTTTTTTTTCTTTTCGTAATATTATTTTACCTTTTTCACCTATTTTATTATTTTATTTAATTAATTAAAAGTAGGATATTTTAGTTTTTTTTAATCGAAAGTTCGACCTTTTTAATGATCAACTGAACGAAACCATCCAAAGGGCACCAATTTCGTCCATTATGTGAAATGTCGTTTGCCCTAAGATTTGAAAGTTATAAATCATTTGTGCAGCAAACCCACAGGTTAGACATCAAGTTAAATGCGGAGATAAAAAATAAGAAAATAATGTAATTAAGTTTTCGTTTTGCAAATTTATAAATTATTTATAAAGATGAATAATAAAAGAAATAGTCGTGAATTTCACGAAATGTTAGGATAATAATGAGTAATAGTTTAAATGTGTGATTTAAATTAATAATTAATTTTAACAGTATTTTATAAATATTTATTCAAACGGAAGCTAAATAATAAACTAAAGGAAAAGGGGCAGACCTGTGAAGTCAAGAACTGAACTTGTCGAGCTCAACTCGATCAGTCAGCCTAGTCAAAATCTAAACTTAGCTCGGCCTATAGATTCATGATGACACGCAAAAAATATCTAGAGTTTATTATGCCTTGACGGGACCATATGACGCGCCATTGTATTAGAAAGGTAAAGCTTTTATGATAACAAAATCGAGAAGATGAAAAGGAGAAGACCATTATAGGGAAAAAGTTATCAATAATTCATAAACAAATTTCAAATAAATTTGGGCGAAGATGAAAAGGAGAAGACCATTATAGGGAAAAAGTTATCAATAATTTATAAACAAATTTCAAATAAATTTGGGCGTAGAGAAAGAGAATGTCAATTTCACAAGGAAGAAGCTGAAATCTGGGTGTAGAGGCTAAGCTGTTCTGTTGGATGTATGTGACTATTTTTTATTTTATTTTATTTT